AAACGTTCAATGAAAGCATTCTATTAACGATGAGTTTCTGATACCGTGTCGGTAACAATGACCGATCTAATTAACATTCAATAAACAAACAAATATTATCAATATTAATGAGTGTATGATAATTGCAACTTGTAATATTATGTCTTATGAGGTTTAGACTTTTTTAATTACCCATGTATATGAGTAAAATTTGAAGTTAAATATTTCCATTTAATTATTACCAGGACAACAATCGATTAGTAAAACGCAAACGTTCAATGAAAGCATTCTATTAACGATGAGTTTCTGATACCGTGTCGGTAACAATGACCGATCTGATTAACATTCAATAAACAAACAAATAATATCATAATGAGTGTATGATAATTGCAACTTGTAATATTATGTCTCATGAGGTTTAGAATTTTTTAATTGTGGCGAGTTACCTATCGTCTTTATGTGACTAACTTAAAACCTTTCTGGTTCACTGGACTTATGACGTTTCTGTAGCGAGAAGGATTTGCTATAATCGCAAGGCTTGGCAGATGATTTAACAATCGCATTTCCAGACCTATCCGCATCAATGATGCTAGCCCCCATTACCTTGTCTCGATATTTTATATCTGACACAAGAGACAGATTCAAACCATAATATAATATGGAATTTTTCTATAGGGCTCTTCGATACGTTCAAGCTATAATTTTTCCAATAGAATGTGGAACGGGTAATTATTAATCATTTAAATCTTATAATAATTTAAAACATTATTCGATATGAAAATGTAATGTACGTACACAAAAATAAACGTAGTTTTGCAAAATTAAGTGATATTCATTCTGTAAATACTAGAAACAGACGCAAGCTAGTGGTACCAGTTACTCGATTCCACCGAGTCAGTAATTCAATCTTGGGGCGATGTATACGCTTTTACAACAAAATCCCAGAAAATATACAAAATTTATCATACGCATAGTTCAAAAATTTTATTAAACTATGTTTGTATAAAAAAGGTTATTATAATATTAAGGAATTTATGGATGATAATAACCCCTGGGAAGGGTGATCGCTACCAAGCTATTTCTAATTTGTCTTGTGTTGTTAATTGTAAACACGATTGTAAGCTATTATGTGAAAAAAAAAATAGTCCAGCTGGGTTTCTTGCTGGTTCTTCCGAGGACAGAGGTTTTTTTGCGAACCAGTGGTAAATGAAAAAATTGACTTTCAATAAGTATTGTTTATAATCTACATTGAATTAAAAAGTTTCTGTTTCTGTTTCAATATGTTATTCAACTTCACAAAGTTATTTATACGTTACCATGCTGCAGTTATATCATTAGTATAGTTGTAACACGAATGGGTCAGCTTGACCGGGGAAGGACCACGCTCTCACAGAATACCAGCGTAAAATAGTAGCTTAATGCTGCTGTGTTTCGTATGGTGAGTGTAGAAAACCGGAGACCCTTTACTGGAAACGGGGCATTCCATCTTATACGGTTGTATGGTTATTTACACCCACCTTTTAAAACACAACAGCATTATGCTCCTGATTTACGTTGGTATATTTCTGTGAGAGCGTTGTTTTTATCCAGGTGTTCATTGTTGTATGAGGAAGCTTAAGGTCGCTAAGTGGGCTATAGAGGAGGCTTAAGGTCGCTAAGTGGGCTATAGAGGAAGCTTAAGGTCGCTAAGTGGGCTATAGAGGAAGCTTAAGGTCGCTAAGTGGGCTATAGAGGAAGCTTAAGGTCGCTAAGTGGGCTATAGAGGAAGCTTAAGGTCGCTAAGTGGGCTATAGAGGAAGCTTAAGGTAGTTAAGGCTATGCTCTGAGTTCCTCTGCCCAATAGATATCCATGGTAGAACCATAGTACGGATAAAACTCTAAGGATCAGTAAGCTGAACTGGCAATGTGCTGCTCATTTGGCTTGAAAAATCGCCAAACGATGGGGAAGAAAGCTCTTAATTGCGAGCACCTAGTAACACATGCGTAAAATCGATGGATGCACCTGGCTCAGGTTCTGTTTTTGGCCTTTGCGTTTTTGAGGGGAGAGGGAGACCGATGTTTACTATAGTGACATTCTATACTTTCAATTCTTGAAAATTAGATAAAATATTTTTTTAATATTTTCATCAACGTCCTTGCTATACGAAATTAAAATTGCCGTTATTGCACAGGTAATCACAAATGCCATTTCTAATATCAAAATGTCACGCAGTCATGATAAATCGATTTTAGACAGAAATAAAAAAAAACATTGAAACCTTTTTAATAACAATAAATTAAAAGCTCGTTGAGTTTATTCACTGCTTTAAATTAATTGCCGATATCGTTGGAACCGGCTATTCAGGCTACATGAGTAAAGAAACCGACCAGAGGGGAAGCTACATACAAACGGCTCGCTGCGACTATACCCATACATAGTGCAGCGATGTATGCGTGAGCTCTCACCGACAGGTTCACCGACGCTTCGTCGGGGTACAAACCGGTTTGCACCGGCTCAGTCAGAGTATTCATGAAACACATATACATACATATATATATATATATATATATATATATATATATATATATATATATATATATAATATATATGTGTATATATATATTATATGTATGTGTAGCATGTACATTTTGAATTGAATGAGATCATGACAACTTTACTGCCCATAACTCACTCTCTGTTCTACCCAAGGTTAGCTGGTAGAGAATGCCATATAGCATTAAGCTCGCCTTTTGTACAAAATCTTTGGTGCAATAAAGAATAAAATAAATAAATAAATAAATAATATTACAAGTTGCAATTATCATACACTCATTAATATTGATAATATTTGTTTGTTTATTGAATGTTAATTAGATCGGTCATTGTTACCGACACGGTATCAGAAACTCATCGTTAATAGAATGCTTTCATTGAACGTTTGCGTTTCACTATTAGACTAAGTTAATGTAATAAATAAATTATGTACATACGTGACAGCTAAGGATAATGTTTTATCCTCTTTTAGAGTTCCGCAACATTTGGGTAAAATGAAAGAGTTTATGTCTTATTAGAATTTTTTAAAATTAGAATTCATCCTTCATTATAAGTAACGTAAGTTTTTAGAAGAAAACAGTTTTAATGCTAATAAAACTGAAATTTTACTGAGTAAATAAAAAGTTCGTACTCCATAGCTGAAACTCAAACAGTCGCTGAAATCTCACAATTAAACTGGTAAAAAGATGAAAGCGAAAAACCATTTGGTTAGTAGTAGACTTAAGAAACTTTACTTTTCCGTAATCTACCTATAAACCTACCTTGCCGACTTAAAATTATCGATTCGTAAATTAATGTAGCTTTTTGTCTTATAACAACTATCCTCTTCTATCGTGGCAATTTATTACGGGTATAGCTAGTAATTAATAAAGTAAGTTATTTAACTTATAGTCTCATATTAACGCTGAAATATACATTATACAAGTAAATTATTATTAAAAAAGAACCTGACTGCAGTGACCTATTATCAAATCAGAATATGAAAGCGTTCAAAACGGTATTAATTCGTACCATGACTGGTAGGTAGCCTCTGGAGATGAAGACGAATCTAATAACACCTTACACTCGGAAGTTCTTCGAGTCGTTTAGTCTCGAACAAAAGAATAACAAATCATTGGTATGTATATAAAAGCATTTATGAATAAATGCAAAAATACCCTAGTTTCGGGAACGGGGATTGTTTGGTAATAAATAGCCATAACGACTCAACCAATAAAAGATTTCCAGTTCCCAGTAAAAATCGAATAGGATATAAATATGGATATAATATGTTGATTGTATTTGAAAAGTTAATTTTTCTTAGCTGTTCGACTGAATTCACTTGCGAATCTGTCATTAAATGTTCGTTTTAACATTCCAAAAACATTGTCATATGATTGAAGATTATGTTGTACGAGTAGAAAATTGCTTAAAATTTTCCCTATAATATATATGTATATGTAAATACCTTCGATTATATACTTGGTAGGTACATCTTATAGAACACAACACTCAATGCTGGTCGTGGCAAATGATTCCTGTGCGCATTTTATTCGTTTTCGCTTCATTTCAAATTCCGTTAAAGTAATCGACCGCCGCGTCGCGCCGTCGTGAACACTGCCACATGCGGAAGGGATTGCTTTTCAATGCATTTCTCGGAAAGCCGATTACAACTCTATTATACCCGATGTTACATTCAAAACAACTACATACGACGAATTTGTAAATGGCACTACCGAAAATTAATTATTTTAAGTTTTGAGTTGTATGCACCTACATTACATCAATACCAAATTAAATATTAGTGTTAAGATATATTTTGGGCGTCTCCTTAAGTGATTCCATTAAATAAACTGAGTTAGCATCTGGGTGTCTTTGCTCGCCGTTAGAAAAAATTATTTTCGCGGAGTACACATAGGGTTGCCAGGTGAGTCGCGAAAAAAATACCGGACAACCCCAAACGGGGGGGGGGGGGGGGGGGGGGTTGTAAGCTAGTTCGAACAAAATACGGGTTTTTTTATACTAATAGTTTTTATTTATTAATCTACATCACATAAATCAACTTAATTAGTAACAAAATATAATGCAGTCATAAAATTGTGGTCGCCAGGACTATGCTTACTTTGAGAAAGTCTTTATTAAACAATGGTATTAATATTATAATCTACTACTTACTTAACAAAATAAAGGTAGGAACTTCAGAAAAAAATAAAATCACCTAAAACTAGATAGGTATGTTTAACAAAAATAATAGGAACTTCCAATGAACAAATAATAAAGTTAAATCATTCTTCTAAAACTAATTTATGTATGTTGTACTGTACCTAGGTACTACTTTTAGGTAGTACCTACTTACTTCTTTTTAACATATTTTGCATTTGACGCAACCGCTTTCAATAGTGTTTTATTTGATACAACACATTCTTTAAAATCAGTGCAGCTCGAGTTTATGTTGAAAAAAACACACAGTTCACTTTTCACAGTCTCTAGACCAGGGCGGTTTTGTTCTTTATATTCCCCACACACTGAAAATGCGCTCGACGAAGGCGTTCGATACAGGAATGCTGCATACATGTTGAACCAATTTGAGAAGATTTGGCGCTGATTCTTTACTAAAAAAGCTGCACCACATATCCTCTGACTTTCCCTCCAGAGACTGGTAAACACTACTAAGTATAGCCAACTCTGAGTAGAGTGCTTCCGGTGGAGTGTCGTTGCTTCTCGTTAGAGTCCACAATTCAATTAGTTGGTCCTGAGTTGGTTGACCGCGTTCAAGGTCCAAGCAACTGAAGCTTCTGAACACCAAGTTTTCGAACTGGAACCACTTTTCCAAATAAGCAACAGGTCGTTGATAAGCAATCAGGGCGTGTTTTTTAAACTCCTGAGTTTCTTCATCCGATAGGTACTTTTTGTTCATGGCCATACGCACTTTCATTCTGAAGTGTTCATCATAAATTTTTTTCACTATTGTATCCCGGAATTGTGTCATAATATTGTGTAGACTGAAAGCTAATGTGTCGTTATTTTCCAGTAATAGTAACACTTGCTGGAATGACGCCATGAAGTTGTGCGTGAAGTATAGATAGAGTTCGGTATAAGTTGGGTTCGTTTCTGTTGTGGGATTATCTTTTTGGTCTTTTATAATAGTCCATATAGCCGGTGAACAATTATTGACGCCTAGTTCGAGAAAGTATTTTTTTTAACGGCCCCCACGATGACAAAACTCTATCCAGGACTTTGAACAAGCTTAACCACCTAGTGGGTACATGGCGAAGGACCTCTTTGAATTTACTTTCATAAAATTCAAAGCACTCTTTCAGGTCTTGTCTCTTCTTTGCTGCATGGGAAAATTCTGAAAATGTTTTCAGAACGATGTTTTCTACGTCAACTGGCAACATCTTTAAAGCATTTTTGGCACAGTTATGAATTATATGATCATTGCAATGGGCAGCGATGATGTTACTATTTTCTTCCTCTTTCAGTTTCTGGTACACCGAATTATTCACTCCATAATTAACAGAAGCGTTATCTGCTCCATACGCAGTTACTCTGCTCCAAGAAAGATCTGCTTCTGTTAAGACTTTGGACAGGTGATTTTTTATAGATCGCGAGTCTTCGAATGGATCTTCGTAGAAATCTAAAATTTTTTGGCACATTCCAGATTTTGCTGTAAAATACTGAACGGCAACTGGGAACAACTTCTTGTTTCCTTTATTCGACGCATCAGTAGCGACGGAAAAAGGCATGACTTCTTTCAAATCCTTTTGGACCAGTTCCATTGAATAAGGGTACAGAACTTGATTCGCAATGGCAGTGCATTTGGTGAGCCCTCCGGTCATTTGTTTCACGATTTCCGAATCTGTGATGGTTTACTTTCTGACCTTTAATGAACAATCTTGAGCCAAATAGGAGATGTGATGTTTTACAGAGTGAAAAATATCTGCTAACTCGGCAAGGCTTACTTTTTCACTCTGTGCGCTTCCTTTAGGCGTAAAGAAAGAGTCCATTCTTTGGGACTTGGCTTGCGCACTTTCCGCCTCTTTATGCTTTTTTGTAGAGGCATGCTGGTTCACCCCCTTCAAACCTTCAGCCACAGCAAATTCATTTCTACAAATTTTACAGTATGCTCTAGCTAGTGTCGACGTTGGCTTTAGTTATCCAAGAATATTTATTTTCCCAGTCTTTATTATAATGGCACATTCGTCTTATTTGCTTTGGCGGTGTTGCAGAGCTGGTGGAAGCTTCTTCTTCCTCCATTTTCCATTAGCTTTGTGTAAAACTCAACAAACAGTCAAAAACAAAAACATACACTCAACTACGACGAACAACTTTACCCGAACGTTGCGTAATCTAATTATCGACTAGGTAAACAAAACTTGAAAAACCAAAACAAAACACACCGGACGCGCGCGGGTGGGGGAGTGGACGCAGGCAGCGAGTACGAGTGAGTGAGACGGGTATACAGTGGTGAAGTGAGAGCCCGCAGACGCAGATACAAACACCGAGCGAGGAGCGCGCGCGAGTTTTGCGTTTTAGGGATTTCATATGCCTACTTTTGTAGGCGCTTGTGACCAGTAGTACCGACTTTCCTCAAAATACCGGACATTGTTCTGTCCGGTATGACCATTTATATTTTACCGGACAGGCCTCGAAAATACCGGACTGTACGCTTAAATACCGGACATCTGGCAACCCTAAGTACACACCCACCCTTCTGACTGATAATCTTGTAAAAGTCAAACGTTATCTGAGTACAAAATTCCATCCAAAATGTAAGAGTTGTTTCCTAGAAACTAGCTACATATAAATAATATACATATTATCCATTTTTATTTTTGTTCTGCTGTGACTAAACATTTTCTGACCGAAAACGCTTTATTAGTTTATACTATTTTTTGCACAGCAGTGAGGTCGTGTAGTCTAGAATACTAAAGAACAATAAATAAAAGTTAAACAAATGTTCCCAGAAATGAGACCAAGCTATATCGATTTTGATCCTGTAAACCTCTACATTGTAAATTTCATCGAGATTGTTCGAGCTGTTTTCGACAACGCGATTACAAAGAAATACATATGTAAATATTACTCGTATTATAATTATATATATATATATATATATTTTTTTTTTTTTTTTATCCCAGGTTTATTTTTATTTGACCTTCGATATTTTGACAAATAAAAATATGTAGACATACGGCTACAAAATATATTACAGAAAAAATATAAAAATGTATTTATTGGACGCTAATAAAATCATATCCGTCAGAATGATTTTCCTGTGTAAACGCAAGTTTGTTATATAAATCTATAGCTCAATGAACTACAGGGGTTGATTTCGTTGTCGATAGTGGACTTACAGAGCTTTAAAATAGTGACGAAACCTTACGCGACATCTAATCCGCGGCAGATTAACAAGGGACCTCTGAATGTCTTCGAGATATTGAACGCACATTTTTTATTATTAAGAAATAGAACAGATCTGTAGGTAGTGCTGGCGGTTGGAACCACAACTGAGCGGTAATTTTAGAAAATGTTTAGATATAAATGTTTATACTAACAGTTTTAGGGAGTCTTGTTAATTTTTTGTAATCATTTATGTTACCGTGGTTTTCATGTAAAGATTGTATTGTATTGTTAAGTGCAGACAAATATTTCGAATAATTTATAAAAATCATTTTCCTAAGGCTTGTGATAAATCCCCGCTGTCTGTCTGTCAGCCTAATGCCACCTAATATTATATATTATAGTTAAATCTTAAAAGCCACGTCTGACTTTTTTTTGCGCCCGAAGCAAACATGGGCAACCCTCCGGAAAACGGGGGGAGCTCCCTCCCTGGGGAATGCTCATAGCATACCACGCAGCCGGCTGCGTGGTTATGTGGAGACTTTTACCCACTAAACCCCACCTTTTAGGGACTGGCTTAACGGTCTAACTAGAGATCTCTAAGCCGTATACGAACGCGACCCTCCTTGGCAGAAAGGAGGGCGCAAGCGGCGAAAAGCCGCTTAGACGAGTGCCTAACTAAGGCAGATTAGGGGATGTGTTATGTAGGCTCGGCTTGAGCCGCCAGGAGGCAGTTCAAGTCAGCCGAAAGCTTGTTGGGGTGGTCCGAGAGAGAGTTTCTCGGTCTGCGCACACTATAGCGAGTGTGGATAGGGGCTGCATAGGCAGCTGTCTCACGAATGAGATGATTTGGGTGGGACTCTGAGGCTTTGAAAAATCTCTCAGAGAGTGATTTAATGAACTGCTGGATTGTTGGGAGCTCTAACTCTCGGTGTAGGTCGGCATTACGGACATAATAGGGCGAGTTACTGGCCCTACGACAGAACAGATTTTGAACTATTTGAAGTTCCTTCATAACTTTGGGCTTAGCATGTGCGAAAATGGGGGCCGCGTAGGTCATGACAGGTCGTATGCAGACCTTATATAGGGTTCGCTTGTTGCGGAGGAACATTTTACTGTGTCTGCCCAACATGCTGTTGAACCTACCCATGTAAAATCGCGCGGGGCGAATAACCTTCTTGATATGGGGTTCGAAAGTGAGCCTTGCATCAAGGGTGACGCCTAAATATTTGGCTGTAGTTTGCCATGGGACAGGGGTTCCTAACATCCTGATTGGTGGAGTGGTGGTGAGACGGCGTCGTTTATATTCGAAGCAAACGGCGGAGCTCTTCTCCGGGTTTACGTCGATACGCCATTTTTGGAACCAAGCTCCTAAGTCGCTTACTGACTTTTGGATCTTGTTCCGAATCTGTGGCAGTGAGTTGCCTTTAGAGTAAAGGGCTGTGTCATCTGCGAAGAGGGCTAGTTTAACACCATTCGACGGGATAGGGATGTCGTTGGTGAATAGTATATATAGGAGGGGGGCATGCACAGAGCCTTGAGGGACACCGGCTTTGATTTGACGAGTAGAGGATAGCGTGCCTTCGTGTCTAAAGCGAAAGGTACGATTCTTCAGATAAGAGGCTACAAGGCGAACGAGACGGTCTGGGAGGCCTAAGTCGTACAATTTGTAGATAAGGCCCTCGTGCCAGACTCTGTCGAATGCCTTGGCAATGTCGAAGAAGACCGCGATGGTTTTTTGACGACGAGGATAAAAACCGCTGAGGATATATTCCACTATGCGGTGAACTTGCTGGGGGCACAAGTGTTTGGCTCGAAACCCGAATTGTTGTGGGATGACAAGAGGGTCGCCGTCTGTGGGAAACAAATGGCGCCTCATGCGCACGAGAATGACTCGTTCGAAAAGTTTGCCCATGGCCTTAAGGAGGCTAATGGGACGGTGATTGGAGGGGAGGTGGTGAGGTTTGCCTGGCTTGGGAATACCAATGACAGTTGCCTCTTTCCAAGAGTGGGAAAATAGCTGAATTCGAAGCAGGCGTTGAAGATTATGGCCAATAAGGCGATCACCTGCTCCGGAAAGTATTTGAGGGCTTGGTTGGAGATGTCATCCGCACCCGGTGCTTTTTTGGGCTTAAGTCCTTTGATGATAGATGAAATCTCATCTTTGGACACAGTGATAGGGTCAGAGGCGGTAGGGGGCGAGTTCCGGCGACGGACCTCGTCCTCCACTAGTTGGATGTGTATGGGGTCAGTGGGTTGTGAGCTGGGAGAGCATTGAGCGGCGACGCTGTCGGCGAAGCACTCAGCCTTTTCTTCGTCCTCGAAGGCAATAGAGCCGTCGGGACGAGACAGAGGGGGAGTATGCGTTATAGCGTCTATCCAGAGGGCTCTCGCCATCTGGTAGTACGCTGTGTGGGAGGGAGAGATTTTCTCCGTGAGATTGCCCCTTTCGAGGTCTCTGTAATCTTGGAGGCGGTAACGGAGTTTGCGTTGAAGGCGGTGGGCCGCGAGTCTATATTCGTGAGTGGGATAGCGTGCAGCTCTACAGAGGGCAGCTTTTTTTGGCTTTTAGCAGGTGGC